GCATTTAAGGGCAATATCAAATTCCTATACTTATGCACAAACTGACACGACATCCCAGTCATTATTGCTCTGAACTTTTAGCCCTTTCATGCTTTAGGATTTAGCTATTTAAAGATCACTTTGCTAATGAGACCAAGAGCTACTCAAAGACTTATTTTTTTACAATATGTTCTATAAAGACACGTAAAACCATGTTTTATGCTTTTTTCCCTAGTATTTCTATTTTTTCTATGTCCCTTCCATACCTAGCCCAGTGCTTGGTAAAATACTATCCTATGCACATTGTATACCTATTGTTTGTTGATGATTTAGAGTATAAATTTAGATTATGCCACTGTTACAATATAGTCCTCCAATGATACAAAATATTCATAATTTTAAGACTTTGCCAGGTTAGCAAAACAAAATGAGAAATGGAGGAAAAAAGCCTGAGAAAACCCTAAATGTCACTGGAGTATGCTAATGGGAAAAAATTCAACATCAGCTTTATAATTTATAATGACTAGAGATAAAACTAATACTCAGATACTTAAGAAAAAATCATATTATGGATAATTAATTATAAGTGGTCCTAAAAGAAAAACTATGTAACATTTTGTATTTTATATCTGAATTTTAACAGAACCGCTTTCAATTGCTACTTTATTGATAAGTGAAAACAGGTTTTTTTTATGACTTAAGTTATAAAAGCTTGTAGTTTATCGGTTCCCTCTCCACCCTGCAATTACCAACAGGAAGAGATTGGCCATAGATTCTATTTTATGAGTTTTATAGGGGCACATTCACCCCAGTTTACATACTAGGAATTCCTGGAAAATGCTATGGATTATAGAAAATGAAATGCTTCCTTTGAAGAAAAGACATTTTACTCAAACTCATGTATTTTATACATAACTAAGTTCTCCAAAATATTATGTTAAAATAGGAAATAACCATGTTTTACATGAATATAAAGTATTCATGTAAGTATATTAAAGTGTAATAATTCAATATGTGGCAATCTTGTGAACCTAAAGAATGAGCTAAACAATGATAATAATCTAATAGCAACTTATAAACATGTTGCAGAATAAGTACTGATAACAAATAATCCAAAAGATACTCAGAATGAAATTTAATTTGTATGATGCAGATCAATACATTTATAAGTTTAGTGTTAAGTAACACCATGAAAATCTGAGAAGTATTACCAGAATAACAAAAACTAATGCTAAAGTTTAATATTGATACAAAATTATGTGTCAAAAATTTATCAATCGACCTTTAGAAAACATAGAGGGAGTACAACTACAGAATGAATTAATTAATAGTTTGTATAATTGTTCTTATGAAAATACAAGAATTTAACCTTCCAAAATACAAGAATTTAACCTTCCAATTAGACCAGGATGTTTTAAACCCTAACAATTAAAGGAATACTTAGATATATGGCAATGTTGCATAATTGGTGTAATCCTGATGAGACCATTTGGATTCTTTTCAACCTTCTGTGGTAGATGTGCAGCAGGCTTCTGTGAAAATGCAAGCTATAATTTTATGAACTACCAAAAATTCGAATTTGCTTTCAGTACCGGTTGTAGGGTCACTGAATAAAAACTAAGAAGAAAGGAGTAAAACTGATGTTATAGATTTGGAAAGTAGGAGTTTACCAAAATTTTAGTGATTTATTAGAATATACCATGTTAATTTTATTTGAATTTTATCATTTCCGTTTTCTCTGTAAGAGATTCAAAAACAATACTTAAATCACTAAAAATTTTTTAGATACAATAGAACTTCCATAGTTGACCACCTCCTTAAATTGACCTAATTTTCATACACTGGACACAAACCACAGTACTCAAAGTAAGCTCCTTATGTTGACCACCTCTGTTTGTTGATCAGTTTGTTACAATCCCTTGGGTGGTCAATTTAGAGAGATACTACTGTATTTAGTACAGCTCACCATGTTTTAATGTTTTCTATGTGTACATTAATTCCGCCAGAAAATATGAATACTATGGGATCTGCTGTGTAGTATGATGACACATTAAAGGACAGATATGCTTTAACTATATTTCCAGGGAAAAACTTCCTTATGCTAGTTGCTATTTCTTTTGATTTACATGTAAGTCATTAATTTACAGGAAAGCCTGTGCTGACTTAACTATTAACTAACTTTTACACCTGCCTTTCAGGGTTCAGACAATGACCCCTGATTAATCTGAGGCTGATATTATCCTTCACTTACTATAAACAGGTGCAGAGGGACGAGTTCTTAAAGAGGCATGATCTAATTACTTTCATTCCTATGACTCCGTAAAAGATAGAACATCAGACTGTGTCCAATGTCTGTCCCACAATATTAATATCAGAAGGCAAAAATGATCAATGTACACAATGTTAAATGTGTACATGACCAATGTACACAACGTTTTGAAGAAACAAGGTTATGTTAAGATAATTAAAAACCCTGGTAAGCTGTGGCATGTAAAGACAACTGAGAGATATTTTTAAATATGTAGACTCAGATATTTCATTTGAGTCTCATTTTATATTTCTTGAAAAAAATAACCTGAAAATGGACTCTTAGCTATGAAGAAAATTTTAAGCTCAGCATGCAAAAACAAATGACAAAAAAGAAGTGATTATAGGAAACTAAAAAGAGTTTTATTCTTTTTGATAGAGGAATAATGTCATGTAGGAATATTCTTTTTCACTTTCTATTAAACGCATTGGCCAAACAGATATGGTACTATTTATGTCAGAAAAAAATTCCCAATTAAAAAAAAAAATCAAAGTTCATGTAAAAAATGAAAAACAAAAGGAAACAAGTAAATTAAAAAGAAATTGAGAGAATATAGAACAAAGGAACAGAGGTGGTTTTGTTCTCAGGCTAATTCATGTTTACTGAAGAGACACTGCATTTTATTACAGTGCTATAGGATCAAACTCTCACCTATAACCATATATTTACTGAAAAAAAAGTTTGCTCAGAATTCCAACTTGGAATGTCAAGAAACATATTTCTTTGGAATTGAGACTTGAGAAATTCTCATTTGCTCGTTTTCCTCATCTGCTGATTGGCTCTGCAACTAGCATCTAGCACTCTCCTAAACCCAAGGCATTCATGGCAGAACTTGGAGCAAGAGGGACATGGTAGTAATAATGGGTAAAGAAGTAAGCTGGGAATTGGGGGTTAGGTCCGTAGTGTCAGAAAGTCACTCAGGGCTCCAGCCTCAGCCATTCTAGAATCTTGGCCCACTTCCTTTCTATTTTTTCCTCAGACTTCAGGAGAGACTTAATTCATGGTATCTCTCCCTTTTGGGCCAATAGAGTATGTTTAGGCTTCTAATTTTACCTTTGTTAAATTTTTAGACAAACTCCTTCCTATTTTTTCTACACTAAACATTTTCTTCTCTTAAACACTTTAAAGAAAGAACAGGGGTGGAAATTAGTAAAATCATATTTCTGTGAAAATCAGACTTCACCTGTCCTGGGCACCAGAGGGAAGTAGGTAATAAACAGATTTTGATTATATTTAGAAGTTATGGAGAAAGGGCCAAGGTCAATAGTCCACTAGCTGGAGGACACTAGGGAAGAGAAGTGAACACTCTTAGTTTGTAGTAAAGAGATAGAAGAAGAGTAGCTCGTCCTACCTCAGAAAAATATATCAAAAGGAATCTCAGCTCAGATCAAAACCTGGGGAACTATAGGAATACACATATAAACCAAATATACTAAAACGTAATGATTGTGTTAATATGTTAGGAGGTATCAGTTTATAGCATAATCAAAAGACCAGCAGTACTTAAATTATTATGCATTAGATTTAGTTTCTAACTCCAAGATTCATTTCGAGATCATTAGGGCACTAATATTAATACCATTATTTCTCATGATTTCATGTGGATTAGCTTCTATTACTTCACTATTTAATAAGCATGGGAACCTACAATCACCCTAGAGGGTTATACTTTTTTGATTTCTAAAATGTATAAACAAAATAGAAATGTAAACACAGGTGCTACAGGAAAGCCTTTAGGAATAAGACACATTTCAAAAGTATGTAAAATAATCCAATGACTGAATATATTATTTAAATATATTAGAATAATAAACTTTTCTTAATTGCTAATCTTCAATTTTCAAATATTAAAGAATACATTTTACAGTGTTATGACTACTCTTTATAGAATATATAGTGTAAATCATCCTATGAATTTTTCAACTGTGATGAAAGATTAGCAACTGATACATATTTCATACAAATGTTATATTCAGAAACTAAAAGGGAAATATAATTCTCTTTTACATTATCTTCTATAATATTTTTTAACATAGTACCTAGATACCATGTTAAATGCCTTTGATTGTCTGACAATAATAGAAGAAGGATAAAAGCAAAGCAACCTTTAAGAAATGAAGCATACTGGCCTTCTCTATTTCAAAACATTCACTCTAAATAATGACACTAGTACACAAAACAAAGTTCATTTTTAAACAGGGATAAATCAATTTGCATACTCTGAGAGGCCAAGGCAGATGGATTGTTTGAACTCAGGAGTTTGAGGCCAGCCTGAGCAAGAATGAGACCTCGTCTCTATTAAAAATAGAAAATAAATTAGCTGGGGGTTATGGTGGGTGCCTGTAGTCCCAACTACTCAGGAAGCTGAGCCAAGAGAATCTCTTGAACCCAAGAGTTTGAGGTTGTTATGAGCTATGATGACACCATGACTCTCTCCCCAGGGGCACAGAGTGAGACTCTGTCTTAAATAAATAAATAAATAAAATAAATAAATTTGCATAAAATCTTACATTACTTTATCAGAACTATTAATCATTTTAAAGTTAAAAGCCATTCATATAAACAAGTACCTATAAAATGCCACAGTATCTTATTTTCATATATCTTGGCAAATACTAGTAAGTTTTATTCACTGATTAGAAATGTGAAGTTAATTTTCTTGCAGAGATATAACTTCTGGCAAAGGGAGGTTATAAGAGTTTTCTACAATGGCGTTTTGTGTAACTGTAACCAGTATCATCTTAGAGTTTTATTTGATCAGTTTTAACAATACAGAAATAGACTGCCTTACCATTGGTGCTGTATCTACTTGATGGTTACAAGGCTTTCTTTCTATGCCAGTAATTCCTGTGGAAAGAAACGATTGTGAATATTTGATTATTATGCCTATCCATTTTATTTTGAAAACACTTTTGTCAGTAAGACATGATTCATACACCTGATGAGAAAAAAGCCTTATTCAGATGGCAATTTCCTTTAAAGTCGTATCATGAATTCTTTGGTCAGAAACCGTTGGTGAGTTTAGCTGCTAAGACACTTGACTCAAGGTTAGCTAAGCTAATTTTCCCATTCAAGTGGCAATAGCACAAGGTGTGCCCATATCTTGCTTTTAGCTCCAAAATTAAACCATTATCTGGGCTCTGCTGCATTTCTTCTACGAAAGTTTTATTTCTGACTCAAGGTTATGAAGTTTTTATAAAGAAATTTCACAAAAGCTATAAAAGAAAGTATTGCTACCCTATTTTCTCAAAAGAATAAATAAATCTATTTGAATTTCTCTTTGATCATCTGCCTTCCTACTATGACATACTTTGCTATTTATTCAATTACCATGGAGTATCTGAAGCAAAAAAGCCCCCTGGTTCCTTCCTTTAAAATGACAGGTAATCTTGGGAAAATTCTTTCGTCAGGTATGGATTTATCTTTCTGTTGCCAATGTCCTCTACTGCATTTCTTTCTTAACAGCTTACCATGTCCTCTACTGAATTTCTGAAAGAGGACATTGTAAACTGTTCAGGACATAACATACTTCATCTCATCTATAAAGATACTGGCTCAATGCCTACCACTAAATGATAACAGGTGTGAGTCTCATTTATTTTCCAATCTCTGTTCACCAGCAAACTAACATGTGAATTAGGATGTTAGAATAGTTTGTTCATATAATGCTAAAGGCTGTAGGTCTAGTTAGAAGTGAGAACTACAATGTCTATTAATAGCAATTTGCAAAATTCCTAGTTGAATCAAAGTGTTAGTTCTTTTTTTTTTTTTTTGAGACAAAGCCTCAAGCTGTCACCCTGGGTAGAGTGCTGTGGCATCACAGCTCACAGTAATCTCCAACTTCTAGGCTCAAGCGAGTTGCCTGCCTCCGCCTCCCAAGTAGCTGGGACTACAGGTGCCAACCACAATGCCCAGCTATTTTTTGGTTGCAGCCATCACTGTTGTTTGGCGGGCCTGAGCTGGATTCGAACCCTCCAGCTCACTTGAGCCACAGGCACCCAAGCCAAAGTGTTAGTTCTTCTTTTTCGAAAGCTTTTAACTCATTTTTCTGAAAGTGAGAGCAACACAAAACAATCACTTTTTATCACTTTGCAAGAATATGTTCAAAATGGACAAAGCATCATGAAACATAATTAAAATCATATATAACTTCTGCTTATTCATGTGCTGAGAATTTCTGACTATAGGTTAGCACTGCTAGACATATAATCAGTAGAGACTGAAATAGAAAACATCTTCCCTCATACTGACTGGACGTAAAACTCTACTTCCACTTAGTTATATTGTTTTTTTTATTTTTTTCTTTTCTTGTTTTTGATCAATTTCAGTGTATGTGTATTTTTTTCCTCCACCTGTTAATCCTAAATTTCTGGTTTTAATTACTGTATTACCGATGTTTCAATTCTGCTGTAGGTTACCTTCTGGATTCTGACAGTAATAAGATACAAATAAAATGTTCAAACCTCCCTCTAATGAAGATACTATATTTACCAATACCTCATCATTAAGATTAAGCTTTTAGAAGGCTTTTATTTCTTTATTCTTCTAAGTTTATATAGTAAAGTTTAAATAGATGAAAGTGTATGAGCATTTGTATAAGTGCTAAATATGAATTTAAAAAACAAAAAGAAACACTGGAACAAAAAGAAATGATATTTTTCTTTATGCCTAACAGAGAAAACTAAGGTTTTCCCCTGTCTTGAGATTTCTGCTCTTATTCAGTTGTCATTTGGTTAGAGTACACGCAGTCCCTGGGTTATGAATGAGATATGTTCTGTAGGTTTGTTCTTAGCTGAATTTGTATATAAGTTGGAACAGGTGCATTTACCTGTTACCTGTAATAGTCTCCATTCATAAGTGTGAGTTACAATGATACAGGACAGGTGGCGCCTCAGTCAGCTGGGGGAACTGAGGGGCGGACCTGCGGCCTCCGCCTTGGTGGTGTTGGTGTGGTGGCAGTGGGCAGAGGAACCGCAGGGCTGGAGGGTATACAGGGGGCACTGCAGGAGGCTCCAGTAGCTGGAAGGGTCAGGCAACTGCTGAAGATACACCAGCACCTTAGGTTTCCCTCCCCTTGCACTTGGGGCTGAACAGGGAACCCCCCCGCCCCCAATTTCCTAGGCCTGGTCAATTTCATGTAAGTTTCTTAGGCCTGGGAATAAAAGGGATTGTAGCCATTCATTTGGTACTGAGTCCCAATAGACCCATGCATGCTACATGTAACTACCAAGTCACTCTAAATGTAACTACAGAGGACCCTATGTGACCATATATACCCCTGGAAAATGAGTCCAGGGAGATAGAGATAGAGAGAGCTTTTTTTCCCAACTTGGTTTGTTTCTCTCTGCCAGGAGCTCTGGTGTTTCTGTATTCTTTTTTATAGATAAATCCTGTTTTATCAATGATCTGTGGACTGTGGACTAATTCTTTGAATCACCGAGACCAAGGACCTACTGAAGATGAAATTCCAGTATCAATATGTCAGTTGGATGTTTGTAACTTGGGCACTTACCGTGATAGCACTTACTTGGGGACTGCCTGTACTCTAAATCCTCGTACATACAAATATACCTTCCTTTGCTGATAGATGTACGATACTTTGCCTGAATAATGGATTTTGCATAAGAAATCCTTTATCCTGGAAGTCTATATATGATATTATACTACCAGCCAGCTTCTGATTTTTAAATGAGACATCCAATGCTTCTCTGATTTTCTTTCCTATGCAAAGAACCTGTTCCCTCCACACAGAAACTTATGATATTTTGCCTTTACCTAGAAAATCAGGAATTTGATCAGGGTATGCCCCACAGTATCTTCCTTATTATCCATCTTTCCTGGGACTTGATAAAAACTCTTTAACCTACAGAGTCTTACTCTTCTGCTTAGGGATATTTTATCCTATATTATTTAATTTTTTAGCTCAATTATCTTTACCATCATGATTTTATATCTGTGATAATCCTTCTAATTCATCTTCTAGATAAACATCTTCGTTTTAACTCTAATGATTTTAAAATATGAAATCATGCGTTTTAGTTTCTTTTTAGAGATCTATGACGACTATGGGAAGAGGCTGGCAAACCCTGGAGATTTCATCAGAGAATAAAGTTCTTCCAGGATTTCAGTGCCTGTATGCCAAGACAGAGGGTAGGGGTCGGAATGCTCTGTTCTACTTAGTGTTAAGCAAGAACCTATGCAGGGTAAGCAGGCCTCTTCCAAATATGTGGGTAGAAAAACAAGTTTTCATAGTTCACTGAGGGCTCTTGGGCAATGGAAACTCTAAATTCCCCTGGAAACTGACTAGATCTCTCAATTTGATGTCCTACAGACCTAACGGCCCTAAATGGGGCTTGTACTCCTAGAAAAATTGATTTCCAGGCCCACACATTGAGAAATGGCTGTAACTTGCAACTGATGAGACTTGAGAAAAGAAGCTTACTCCATTAGCCCAGCACTGGGGTATCAGTTGGACAGGTTTTTTGCCAGGAATAGGCAAAGAAAACTAAACTTTAAAACTTTCTTAAAGAGCTTCAGCAATCTGAAGGAGATCAAATAAACCAGAACTAGCAGGGGCACTGATGCCAGTGGAAAAATTAGAGGGTCTCTTAAATGAAAACAACTGACAAAACCAACTATTAAGAATTTTAAGGTAGATAGTTAACAAACAACAAAGATAACCCCATTTTCAAGGAAGGAAATCAGAAGGTAGAAAACATTCCCAACCAGTGAGCAGTGGCACCTGGAAAGAAACCTACACATCGAAGCCACAAACCCCACAGACCCGTTTATGTGTTTGTTTAGATCCTGTGGTTGGGGCCTGATTTTACTCATCTTCACATCCACAGTGCCTAATCCAAATGCCTGAAACACAGAAAGTCCTCCAGAGTTGAGTCCAACATTAACTCAATGAATGTATTCTCCTGTCATGTCCACTGGGTTCATACACTACAATGCTGCTGTGTTATTAATCATCAGAATGCATCAGTTAATGTTCTGGGATTATTTTCAAAAATGTCAAGTTACTATTCCTTTGGTAATGTTCCTGATGCAAAACTGGAATGTGTTATAGTCATGTGCCACATAATGACATCTCTGTCAACAACTCACTGCACGTAAGATAGTGGTGTTGTAAGATTATAATATCATATTTTTATTGTACCATTTCTATGGTTAGATATATAAGTACATACCAATGTGCTATAATGGCTTACAGCATTCAGTACAGTAAAATGCTGTCACGACCCACAGGAACTGTATTAAAGGGCCGCGGCACTAGAAAGGTTGAGAACCACTGCTATAAAGGTTCCTAGCCTAGGAGCAACTGGCCATATTATGTAGCCCAGGTGTGTAGTAGGCAATTACCACCTAGGTTTGTGTAAATACACTCTATGATGTACGCACAATGACAGATAACCTAAGGATGTATATCCCAATATACTCCCATCATTAAGCAACACATGATTGTACTTAAAATTTTTCTTAAGGTTGCAGATAGTGACACAGTCTAGAGAAGATAATGGAGGAAATTTTATGTCTTAGGAGACACTCTTATTATTTTATTTTGTAGAAAATCAGATCATGATGTTTTACCTCACTGTACCTGACTAATCTGAAGTGCAGAATTATATATTTTTTACTTTTCATGAAACAACCTTCATCTCAGGACCAGATCAAAGAAAGATAAGACAAGGACAAACAGACGTATTGCAAAGTAAAAATAGGCAGGAATATGGAGTCAACTGTAAAGACAGAGCATACATCCAGTAATCTCATGTATTAATACCAAATGATTACAGGCCACACACCAAGCCAAGGCACTGTGCTACGCGAAGGAGAAGGTTTAT